GTGTAGAATGTAGGGCCCAGAGGTTGGTAATACTTATAGTGGTTTATTTTATGTTAAAATATTTTGTACCTGTAGGTCCTTCAGGTAGTTTCAAGGACAAGGTATATAAACAAAAAATCATTTTTATTTTATTACCTAAAGAACCCTGAACATGATTTTTAAATTACTGACTTGTAAGGACCAAACAAGTGAGCAAATTTCATTTGAAAGAGACATATTGAAAAAAAAAAAACAGTACAGTAAAAAAAAGTACAGTACCAGCATAATATTAGATACTCAGCCCTACAATGATCAACAATCTCCCTACAATGATCAACAATCTCCCTACAATGATCAACAATCTCCCTCCCCAAATTCTAAATGCTATTTCTTTAAGAACATTAAAAAGAAAAAGAAAAACTACGTATAATGTCAAACTATTATATTAATTATCCTCGGTCATAATTCAATATGTTCTGTGTTAACATGAACTTCAGGTGTTTATTTATTTATTTATTTATTCATTCATTTATTTATTTGGTTTTTTGTTTGTTTATTTATTTCCCTTTTTGTTTACTTACTTATTTTGCCATTTATTTTTTTATTTTTTATTTTTGTTTATGTTTGTATTGACTTATTATTTATATCTTCTCAGGATCATGCTTTCTTCCATAGATTATTTTTATTATAGTTATTATTTTAAATCATATTGTATTGTATATGTGCAGTATGTGTTTGTTTTATGGAAGTAAATAAATGTCTTTGAAATTAAGTTAAGTGTCTGTGCAAGGGTAATGATGATGATTGTGTAATTTCTGTCAAGTCTGTGTTACTGTTATTGTGTTTTTTCTTTAGATATGCCAAGAATAACCAGATTATTTCTGAAGGAATGCACATGAAGGGCTTTGATGAGCTACTGAGCTCACAGGACAAAAGCAACATCATCTCATCCTTCCATTACCCACAACATCCAAATTTCAACTTCCAAGAATTTTACCATCGACTAAATGAAAAAGGTGAATAGACGTGGTCAAATCTAGGACTTTAGGGTGGGATGATAGGGGCTTTGCTAATTTATGAAACTATAATAAACATGAAAAGTTCTTGTAAGTAAACCAATAATATATGTACAGTACTGTATTATTGGTTTACAAGAATTTTTTATGTTCATACATCCAGAAACCAGATGAAAATATTTGAGCTTGTATGAAAAGAGCTTGTGTATCTTTTTTCTGACCATCTAGCCCTACTACTGTATGTATTACCATAGTGGAGAGATTTAATTTTGTACAAGGTTTTTGAAAGCCTTCATACTTGCCTTTGTACTGTATGTCTATAAAGTTAACTTATTAATGGGATCTGTGGAGGTTCAAAAATGAGAAATGAACTTAAGCATCCTCAGCAATAACTGTTTTTTTTTTTATTCAGGTCAAGTTATTTATCCTGGCAAGCTGACAAAGAAGGATTGTTTTCGTATCGGCAACATCGGCCATCTGTTCCCGGAGGATATGTGCCACTTACTGGACTGCATTGAAGTTGTTTGCGAAGAGATGGGTATACCACTCCCCCTAGGGTCGTCAGTAGGGTGTCAGGTTGTCGCTTGAATGGACATTCATAGAAATTAATTTTATTTGCTAGCATGCCTAGTCGTTATAATAACCATTTATAGCATAGACTTTAAACTTTAATTATTTACTTAAAAGTAAAGTAATTTTAGCAACATCTCAAAATTTATTATGAACTTGATAGCCATTTTAATTCCAGTATTATCTTTTAGCTGTGTTAGTCATTTTACTGGTCCTTCAGTAGATAGGAAAGTTAATAGGTTTATTTTAATATATTAGCAGTAAAATATGGTTGCTGGTCAAATCGTTATGTGTGAATGTAGTCTGCAAAACCTACACTGAGAATACCAAAGCATTCTATGCAAACAATGTTTTAACTTAGCAATAACAGGTGCGGATCCAGAAATTTTCAAACGGGGGTGGGAGGCACAGTATTTTCAGAATAGAAAAGTGAGTAATGCTAATTTCAATATATGCAATGAAATTTGAAAATTTAGTGACAAACCGTACTCCCTGCCCCACTTCTTCCACTATATCTACCTACGCCTTATAACAATGCACAATGAATGTACTATAGTTACAACACTAGACAATAACAATGCAAAAATATATACTTAGGTACCACATTGGATAATAAATCTTTAAAAAAGTTAGAAATATATTTTTATTGCATATTATATATACAAATTAGACAGCAATATACCAATGCAAATATGTGTGATGAAAAGTGTTTAAAGTATATAGATAAGAATGTTATTTTATCCTGTGGAGAAGCAAAGAAATTGTTATGTCAGAAATGAACATTTCAACCAAAAGACTATCCGAAGTTATACTACTATCAATTATATGTTGAGGGGGTAGTTGTATTCCATTACATAGGCAAAGCATGGTTCTTCCTACCTTATTTAGGCATATTGGCAAAGCTTTGCTTCATCCAAAAACTAGCTGTGATACTACTCACCAAAACCCAATTTCTTTTTACAACCAGTAGACATATAATACATGCCATAATAATTATACAAAGGCATGCGGAAAAACTTCCTCGAATCGAAACATTAATGAAAGCTGAATGTTGTTTTATAGGCAAATATATACAGTGTTTCTTATACAGTAGTTAGAAATGGACAAGATTAAAACTTAATAAACATAAATAAAATTATTAAGCAGTTGAATCGTGGCCGGATATAATACTTAATTACAGTGTAAAATTTGGTCTATTTTAGGTGTGCAATGGTCAGCTGATATGTCCAGATGTATGCATACCATTATCAATTCAAAAGTGGTATAAACAATTAGTTAAAAGTCGCGTTTTGTGTTAGTAGTGTGCTAGTATAAGTAGTTAAAAACTCAACCACAGTGTAAATATTTTAGTAAATATAGTGCAAGTTTTGTTTTTAAATGCGAGCTAAATAAAAATATGACAATGATGTGATACAACCAGTGGTGTATTTAGGAGTCTTGAAATGGGGAGGGGATTGATGCCCGCAAAATAAGGTGATAGGTGATTTTTATCTACTTGCGTGATTTTTTTGCTTTGAACTGTTTCAGTGGGATG